CTCTTCTTTGGGAGGAGGGGGAGGGGCATGCCGTAAAAACGCCACTGGTCTGGGGTAGGGGCCCGTGCACTTGGTTCAACCAGTCCCTATGATATTATAGTTGAGCTACTGTACACTTTGTCAAATGTCAACGGACATAAAAAGTTTAGAAAACTCCATAATATTCCCTATAAAAGGTACGTTTGTTTGGAATGTTACATTAAATAAAGATATCAATGAAAACAAGTCGGGACGTATACACAGACTCTTATACCAGTCGCTTTATTGTCGCTATCGTCTACAACTATCTGTAGTCTGGTTTATCTAGTCTATGATTGATTAATATAGACTAGGTCAACAGGTGAAAATCACCAGGTAAAATCATTAATGTTTGTACATTTGTATTAATGGTTAACTAAAACATTTAACAGTTTCTAGCGTATTGTTTTATTAATGAAATAGTGAGTAGATCGTGTATCGTGCAGATTCTCAACTGTAGAGTGATAACAGGTGCCCGTTGTATGATTGGTTGATATTGTTAAGATAATGTATATATGTGTAGCTGATATGTATATGTAACAGTATGTATATAAGATATTGTAGGTAGGTAAAATCGATATTAACTCAGATCTGTGGTTACATGTAAACAGTTATTAATCAGGTCGGTAGAAAGATAAGGATTAGAGATATAGAAAGTTAATTATACTATTTATTGTTATACATTGTATACAAATAATTAAAAATAGTAAATTGATACAGTCGAGATAGAGATGATAATCATTGTTGATTTTCGAGTGTTAAAACTTTGTGTAGAAACTAAGGATATAACACCGTGAATTATAATTGGAAAACTGATCTATTATTATAAAAAATAGTGATAAAAGTCATTAAAAAATTGGATAGTAAAAAAAATCGGATTGTTCGATGTCGGATATTGGTTTTATTGTGTTTATTTAACGTCATTTAGTACATTGTATATATATATATATATATATTCTATATGTTATATGTTATCATATCCAAATATCATGTCCAACTAGCCAGCGATCTGTTTTTGATTTATAACAACAATTTTCTGTGGTCAGAATGGTTTTATAGAGTTTGGTCTAAGGTAAGCTCCAATGATTTGAAAGGAATCTGGACGAGTAGTTTGGTATGGATGTAGAATATACCATATAGAGTAATATTGTATGACTTACCAGCCAATAGAACCTGAAGATTCAAAAGTTCATTAAGATCTACCATACCGTTTACTGAAAATATCAACAAAAATACTTTCACTACAACATGAAGTGTATTATAAAAGGTAAACATCCTCGTATATTCATCAGTGGACTTACCCGGTGTCATAACTATATAACAGAATCCTTCTTTAATCCAATAAATCTACCCCCTACCCCCCAATTAATACCCCCCCCCCCCCCTCCCTCTTAATCAATACTCACCTCCCCCTCTTCCCCATCCCCACCCCAATTAATTCTCACCCCACCCCGTTACCCTCTCCCCCCTCTCAATCAATACTCACCATTGAGGTCAATCTGAGCAAAGAGGGTGTTGAATAAGTCTAAATCAATGTTCAGTAAGGCCTGTAGAGCAGCTCTGGTCATACCCCCGTTAGTTACAGCGGCTGTAATAGTGGCTAGCAGATTAACTCCACCACTTGCACCTCCCAACAGACCAGTTGCACCTCCCAACAGCCCGCCTGCACCTCCACTTCCCAACAGACCGCCAACTATACACTCCGACTCCTGGCTCAACAGCATGACAATGGCGACGGCGAAAACAACTGCGATCTTCATCCTGTAGAAAAATGAAATGAAATTAATGGAGTTTTACATCCTACTTTCCTA